GGCGGCGGGGCACTCTCGGAGGGCTGCCACGCCGCACAGGTCTCGCTCAACCTTTCTTTAGCTCATGAGATGTGACAGGAAGACAGCCCTGGTGTGTTTGGCCGGAGATGTCTGCAGCTCACCCTCACTCCTGCTTGAAGCCGGTCCAGGGGACTCCCTCTGCGCAGTTATCTGCGTCGCTGCAGTCGAAATGTCTGACAGCAGACAGAGGAACCCAGGACTTGTGTGCTCCATCCCTTCAGTTCCAGCAGTTGTGATGGTAACGAGCTGGGACCACCTTAGCTGGACTCCAGCAATACAGCTACGATGCTGCTGCTTAACACAGCTCACCTGCTGCTATTAACACTACGACAACACATCACCATCAGGATTCTTCACCACCTTCTTCTACCTTCATGATGGGTTTAACAGCAGAGATATGCCTTATAAAAACCAACACAGCAGCTACAAGAGGACGAGGCTCAAAAAGCATTTCACCAAGTGCCAGCATTTACACCTTGCTACAGACCAGGCTGCTGCCTGATATTTCTTCAAGGGGCAGCAAATATCATGTTACTGCAGTAACTGAATTGTCTGCCCAAGTGCCAGGCTTCATACCGAAATCCCAGAGCTATCTAATCCCAGATCATATGCTGCAGCCAAAACCCAAAAGGAGAAGGGAGGCAATGAGCCAAACGAGGGGTGCATGAGAAAAAGGCACGAAGTGAACAAGTGGAGGCTGGATTCGCTACAAGCATAAAAATCTCTCTATCACAGTATACTCACCATCCCATAATTCAGTATTTCTAGCACGTTGATTGCCCTTCCTCACTGCTATCCATGTCCTCTTCCGCATGTGTAGCAAACAGCCACCTTGCCCTAGAAACCACTTTGGACTGGGAAGCCTGTCCGCAGCATGTCCTTAGGCGTGCTGCTTTCTCCCTGGATGTCCTTACCTTCTTGCAGAGAACCATCTGGTGATCAAAGAGAAAGAAAACACGCTGCTGGTTCCGTCCATAAGGCTGGTAAATCCAGGACATCTCTCCCGTGTAGATCAGCTCTGAGCTGCGGTCCAAGATATCGTCTCCCTAAAGGGCACAGAGAACGAGGCTGAGTGGCAGTGGATATGTTTCTCTTTGCAGGATGGGGAGGAACAATAATTAAGATTTTGGCCCTTCTGCAGCTCTCAAAGCCGCCCCGTCTGACTTCAGACCAGAAACTGGAGATGGGGGATAATTCTGAAGGAAGGAAAATAAATGAAGTAAAAGCGTGGACGCTCGAAGCGTGGCCATTGTGGTTCACATCGCAACGACGAAAGAAACAGCAGAACTGCTGCTCCAGACACTGTCCCTATTCCCTCCTCTCTTTTCCAGGTACCAGCAGACCCCGGCTCTCCCTGCAGGTGCCAGTGGCATCCTGAGAGTGAAGCCCCTTCCTCCTGCTCACGGCAGAGCCACTTTGTTTTCAGGGTAGCAAATTCCCTGGCACCCCCTCCCTTTAAAACACCATCCCAACACACATCCCCTCCTGAGATCTCAGGCCAGCTACCAAAGTCCTCTACACTGGGATATCAATTCCCCCACCCGTGAGGCTGCCAAAACTCACCCCTCCACGTTGTTGCCTCTCCTCCCACTCATTCAGGCAATTAGTCCCTTCTCCCATCTCCAAAAAACTGTCAGGACCACCCCAGCTCCTCTGGCAGCCTCCACCCCCCCACCGCTGGCAAGGCCTCCCCGGCCGGCTGCCAGAATGCCCTCACCCTTCCTCTGCCTCCGGCTAACGCTTGTTTTCCTCTCCCATTTTTTTTTAAGGATTCATGAGCAGATGGTCTTGCAAACACATTGCTCTCTCTCCCACTCTCTGAGAGAACAAATGCAGTCACCCTCCGCTAATTGGGATGAGCTGGACTTTTTAAAAAGTTAATTAAAATCTATTTATTAAAAATGGGTGAATTCAGCAGCACCTGCCCTGTGGGCATCTCAGTGTATCTCTCGCTCTGAAAGCCCACAGAAGGCATCAGGATGACTTCAGCTAAAAGGTAAGGAGCTGGATTCAGGAGCAAGTGAGAGAAAAGCTTTTTTTTTTTTTTTTCCTTCCTTTTGGCTCTGAGACTAGTGCAGTTCTGGCTTTGATACCAAACTAGAACCAATTTCTGGGACAAGAGCATCACAAAATCTCAGCAAACAGCTTGTAAAGGTTCAGCCATCGAAGGGGGCATCCAGACAGACAGGCTTTCCTGGGACTGCTTACACTTGTAGGTGCCAAAGCAACCGAAAGTCATCCTCACTCCTAATTTCTTGGTGAGGATTTCAGACTGCTGCTCAGGTGAATGTGTAATTAACCTCTCAGCATTGATTGGGAGCGACTGCCTGAGTCCCTGGGCCCTGTGACAACAGCAACTTCATTAAGTCGCTGCATCATCATGCTGCAGCACAGACTTTCAAATCGCCTTAGCGAGGTGTTTATCCACCTCTCCATCTCACTTCTGTGGCTGTGCTATTAGGGATAACTTCCCAGGAACACAGAGGGTCATTCCCAGAAGGGACAGGCTGCACATCCTGCAAGGTCTCAAGAGTGTGGTGTCAGGGTCCGATTTCAGCCGTGGTACCTCCTGGCCAGCAACTGGGGACCACGAGCTGCTGCGACAGCTCAGGTATCTGCAAGCCCTTGAACAAGAAGCCTCTGAAGAAAACACACCGTCGCAGAAATTGTGGGCTTTCCTGGCTAGATGTGAGCTTATACAAAGAAGATTCACACGAGGCTATGGATGGGAGCTTTTAAGAGAGGGGGCGAGCCTAGAAGAGGCTGTCTGCTAAAAATAGAAAGCCAGTTCTGTCTTTTGCTCCTGTGGTAGCATCTCAAGCCTGAGGACACACAGAGGACTCTGCAAACACTTCTACTTGATTAGCTGAATCCAAACTGTGTAGTCCCTGCAAGCAATACAAACCAAAAAAATTTAGATCTGAAATGATAGGATTTATATTGCATTTTCTATGTTGGGAAAACAATTTATATATACAGTCTATAGGCTAGAAATAGATGATTTCCAGTGCTGGGTTAGCAAATTTGGAAACCTATATTGCAAATAGTTTTGGACTAGCACACAGCCGGCCAGCCTTCAGCTCCCAGGAGCAGCATCTCCATGGCCCTGCCTGTTCCTCAAGCCCTCGGCTGCTATAGCTTCCCCCAGCCTCGCTGCGCTGCTACAGCCTCCTACAGCAGATGCAATGAACCTTGAAAGGCATTTTTTTCCCCTGACACAGTTATACCATGTCTTTGAACAGCATGAACTGTCTTCTGCTGGTGGAACGTCCCTACTGGGCAGCAAAATGGCCAAGAGACTAGATGCCCTACTGAGGTCTCTTCCAACCTAAGTTATCCTATAAGCCTATAATAAAGAACTCAGCCCTCCCCAGCCTGCATCAAGGGTTTGCACTGTGCATCCTGCTACATACAACGAACAGCAAAAAGAAAGCTGACTCCTCTTTTCTTCATGCAGTCCCAGAGTCCAACTACTTAGTGTGCAGTAAGGGGAGCAGAAGGTCACCCAGACCCAGGCTGGACATGAGCTTCATGGTCCCCCGAGCTTGCCAGCGCTACGATGATCTATCGAGTCCCAGGGCTAATCCTGACTGTCCCAGCAGAGGGTCAGCTCTGCTGCTGCTGCTACAGAAAGATGTTGACCATCAGCTCCCCAGGTAGGCTATAGGTGACCACCAATCTCTGCAAAGAGAAACTGGGAGGAACTAAAGGGTTTTCACTATTGTCATGAAAGAAGTGCCATTAGGAGCACCAACGTAACAAGGAAGGGCACGGCACTGCGAGCTGCAGCACGTTACACCTCCTGCTCCTTCTTCCCATGAGCAATCCCTGAGCAGATGCTGTCCCAGGCTCAGAAATGCTCATCAGCCCATCGGACCTGCTCCCCTGTGCCCGAGCCCACCTCCTGACACGGCTCCTTGCTGTCACTGCTGGGCACGAAATCCCCTTTCCTAGTTAACATTCAGCGAGCGGGGCTCTCTTCTGCCTGACACTGCTGTTCTTTAATTAGAGATTGACAGCCTGATTAGCACTCTGGGCTGCAGAAAGATCAGAAAAAGGAAAGCGAGAGAAACATTGTCCTTTTCATCAGGCTCCTTTTTTGATACCTTCTGTTGCTGGGAAGAAAAAAAAAAACAAAATGAAGAAGAAGAAAAAAAAAAAAAAAAAAAAAGGATCTGTTTCAGTCCCTGATGCGATTTTTTTCCCAGGAGGATTTCTCATCAGGCTGCCCTCACTTTGAAACCAGTACGTTGGTTGCATGCAGCTTTTTTTTCATGTCATTCTTGGATTCAATAACGTAATATTAGGCTGAAGCCAACTATCATCTATTACATAATTAAGGGCACCGAGTCTTGATTTAAAGGACCCGTAAATAACAAGAATGCGAAGAAATTTAAAAGGACAGTGTTCATTATATCTCCCAATTATATATATTTCTCCCTTCATGTAAATTTAACACTCTTGAGACCGGCCAAAGTGGCAACCCCTGGTAATCTTTGGTAGAAATATGTAGATATCTGCATAAACCAAAGCATCTGTTTAAATAGCAAGTTAAAACTAAGCCAGGCTGATGAGCAAGGCTCTCTCCTGTGCCAAACATCCTGCCACTAGCTTGAGGACCTCCACAGCTCCCATCCCAGGGAATGGGTGCCTCATTTGAGAAAAACCTGGTCTGAAAGGGAGGAAAGCATTGCTGGCAGCTGCCACGAGGGCCGGGGAGGGAGCCTGACACGCTGCAGCGATTGCTGCTTCGTTTTGTTTTGCCTTGGCTCGAGCGCTGCATGAAAAGGCACAAAACAGAGCAATTCTGAGGTCTGCCAAGGCGCAGAGCTGTTCTCCACCTTCACGTCATCTGTGACGGGCACTCAGAAGGGTGCAGCTGCGCTGGGGGCTGCGCTGGGCACCGCGGCCGTGCCCGCGCACACGCCAAGCCGGCAAGTCCTGCCCAGGAGCGAGCTGGGCACGCAGCACGCTCACCAGCTTGCCTCCCTGGCCTTGCAGGAGGGCAGGAGAGCAGTGAACGTGCTCCTCCGATGGCCGTGCAGCAAACCGTGCGCGGGGAGGACGGCAGGGACGCGCCGCTCCTGCACTCCCACTGCCTCCTCTGCGTGCCGTAAATACAGCGCTGCCCAGCCGGGGCTTGCCAGGACTCAGACCCGATGATGGGCTTTGTGGAAATAATCCCTTTAGAGAACTGCTGTGCGTGTATATCTGTCTAGATTCTACCCACTAACCTTTGAGATCTCAGAGGGCAGGAGCACACGAGGGACTGGGCATGTAAGGGCTGCCCAGGATGGGCTCTGTCTGAAGTCTGAGCCAGAGGAGACTTCCAGGCTGCTCTGAACCCGCTCCAGCTAACTTTGTGCGCTGGTTTTGTCCACCTGCCTTGAAATGTCACTGCTTTGATCTGAGCCTATTTAGCAACAAGGAAGGGGATGACGCTGAGCGAAGGAAAACAGAGGTTGAACATCAGGAAACACTTCATAACAACGAGAGCTCTCAGGCATGGAAAGGTCTCGGCAGGAGGTGGTGGAAGCCCTACGTTCTGCGCCGTTAACGACGGAAAGGACAAAAGGCACTAGAGAATTCGGTGCAGGCGGGGGCAGCACCTCTCTACATCTTTTTATATACTGGAAATTCAGGTTACAAAAGAAAGAAGTGAGTCGTACACGGCAACGGTCCAATCCAGGCTTTTCACTCAAGACCACGTTCCTACGAATTTTACAGGAACGCTTCTCAAAGTGATTGGGATTATTCCTAATTTACAGCAGTCAGTGAGATCAGAATCTTCCTTTAGGATTCTGCTCGGTCACTTCTCGTGCAAAGGTGCCAGTAATTCCTTAAACGTCACGGCCTGGCTGCGGTGGCACGGGTATCAGCTGCCACTTTTACTCTTTCCTGGTCCCATTTGCAATTTAAACCTTCAGTTCCTGCTTACGTGACTTCTCAGAAAAAAAAAAAAATCTGGCCTTGGTTAACTCAAGGACATTTGCATTTTTCAAACACCGACCCTGAAGTTGATCTTCAAAGGGCCACGCAGAAAATCTTGAGGGATAAAAATGATTCCTGAAGCACACAGGCACGAATCCATGGGATCAGTAAAATCCCTTCTGCTTAAATCAGCTAGGACATTTCCTCTACTTTTTCTATTTGTTTTAAGATCAACAACATTCCAAATAACACCCTCTCCTTGCAAGAAAATGTGTACACACGCTTTGTGTACAAGAACATTTCAAATACTTACTCATTACATATTTTTTGTTTGGTTTGGATTTTTTCTTCTGCTTTAAAAATCTTTTTCTGACATCTCATTGCAAAACGTGGGTAAATTTAGAAATGAAAATGCAATTTCAAATCAGAGAATCAACATCACTGGTCCAGAGCTTGGGTTTGCAATGCCTAAAGAGAGTATCTGCACAGATCAAGGACAGATCTAGGCATCTGGCACAGCTTTTGATCTCTCCTGCTCTCTTCCTGCATTACACTATGGCTAACTTGGGAGTATTTTGGGTTTTTGTGCATCCTTATGGCCATTACATGGACATCTGTGAAGCAGGGGCTGGATCTGATTCAGAAGTTACTGCAGAAGAAAGAATCAAGTAGTAAAGTCCTCTGCTGGATCTAACCCTCCTCCTTTAGTGTTCTCACCACAACTCTATGACTCTTCTTGATCCAAAATACAGAGTAAAAATGGCAAGAAGGGTGTTTTCCTTTGAATGGGGGCAGTACCTGTATTCCCCTTGGACCTCTGAGCACTAGCAACAGCAAGTTTTGCTACATTACGAGAAGTTGAAGGATGCTGCTGCAATATTGTGCTTAAAATCTGGAATAGTTGAAAAAAGCCTGGAAAAATGATTTGGCCAGTTCCTGAGGATAGGATGGAGATAAAGAATGGGTACTGCTAAGCAGGAGTGAATTATAAAGGATATGGCTAAAGCTAAACAGGAATGAATTATCAAGGATATGGCTAAATAAAAATGAATTATCAACTGAGCTAATGGAAGAGAGAAAGAAACTGCTATTCCACAAATCCTAGGTGGGGGTCACCTTGGCTTTCCACTCACACATGACTATTCACTGCCTTGGAATTGATCTGTCCCTAATCTAGATTTATTTACAATGAGGGTCTTGGCATTTCTTACAAATGACACACATTAGCTCATCCCATGGAATATACTCCAGGCTGAAGATACATCTGATGGGTCTGTGCCTCCTTGAGAGCAGTTTTCTAATTCTGAAAATGAGTCTGCGTGTCAGTAAGGAAGAGGTTTCTTCGCAGTAAACAACAATAAAACAATCAAGCAAATCATCTGCGTTCTCTGCTCTCACACCAGTCACAAGTTAAGAACCAGCTATGATTGCTGCATTTATACGTTTTATCAAGAGACCCAGGGCTGAATCCAGCCTTCGTTATAGCAACAAAACTAATTCAGTCAAGGAAAATACACAATAAGAAGGTGAGGCACCTTATTTCTCTCCCTCTTCTCACAGCCTTCCTAGATCTTTTCTGGAAAAAAAACCACCAATAACTCAATGATTCATGCATCTTTCCCATATACCAATTTACATAGTATGACCCCACTGACTTGAATGTGGAGTTATTCCAAATTGTTGTGACTGTGAGGAGGAAGAAAGGCTACTCCATCACTCTGAGTGTCCACTTGCTAAACACATGGATCGATGACAACATAGAGAGGGATTTACAAAAACATTTCTCCTCGGTCTGCTTCAAAACCCCTCTTTTTGTGGGTACTCATTTTAAATGTGCAAACAGCATCTCTAACTTTAGCTTAATGTATTGGCTTCTAATCATAAAGCACCCACCAGAAGAGTTTTCTCCAGTTTCTTAATCTGTC